TAATTCTTCAGATCTCAGGTTTGCCAGGAGGGTGGTTAAATTAACAAGGGGATGAAAGCAGGGCAGCCTTGATTTCTCTACATCAAAATCAATGCCACGTAACAACCCACACTGTCTGCAAAAAGAAAAATGTGACCCAAAAATATATCATCTGAGTATATATCATCTGGATATGTCATCTGAGCTGTCATTCAAATATAAAAGCATCAGGCAGATTTTTAAATACATACAAACTCAAGAAATTCAGCTATTCTTTTGAAAATACAATTTATCAATTAAATCTAGGGAACCAAGAAGAGAATCAAAGTTAAGCACCTGAGAATGGAGAAGCTACAAAGATTGTTATAAGTACTGAATCCATTTCAGTAAACAATAATATTAAACAATTTCAGAAATTACTGTTACAGAAGAGGATGTTTTATACTTTGATGACATAAAAAATAATATACTAACAAAATTGGGGGAGAAGGGGAGGAAAAATGAAAGTAGATGTAAGAAGCTAAATTCTTCATTTTTTACAGCAATGAACTGATATTGTCTGAAATTGAAACATGCATATACTAGAAATGTGAAATTACTCCAACCTCTTAAGTTGTTCATAATTTTTAAAATACAATGAGCAGGAACTTTTAAGCTATAATATTTCCTTTTGAAACAAGCATTAATCCTAAATTTAAGAATTCCTTCAATTCCACTTTCTCTTCTAATAAATTCAAGTAAAACTAAATTTAGTATTTCACTTAAATGTAACATTTATTGTACAGTCCTATTTTAGTAAAGCCTTTTCTATCTTTCCAGCCATTATTTATTATATCTATACAGCCATGTCTGAAATGATATCCACCTAATATAAATAACAATGAGCTCTACAGCAAAATCTGTGGTGATTTTTATTTTTACTCTGTTGAATTGCTAGAAAGCCTTAACCATTTTTGAAAAAAAATTACTTTTTAAAAATAAATACTATGAAAACAAAATACATGTTGGGAGTTATCATATTATCTCTCCTGATAATTATTATTAATAAGACTTTGAGTGTTTATTTATAATTCACGACACATTCTCACATTTCACCATGCCGTGTCCTCATTTCACAGCTGAGAATCTGAGGGTCCTGCGCTTAAATAACGTTTCACACGACTAGTCACTCGGATCTTCAGGATCTTAATCCAGTGTATTCAAGTGTGTTGGTCTTGACCTTCGTTTAGCGAGGTTAGAATGAAGCTCTAATGTATAATGCAAAGAATATAAAAGACTCTATCAATAAGAAGATCCCACTGTTAGAAAGAGACTGAGGAATTTGACTGTAACGGAAAATGAATCAGCTTTAAAGACAGATGATCTAACCAGAGGATACAGGTAAGAAACCAAGCCAGAATCTTTTCCCCAAAGATGCTGAATTGAACAAACAAAATCAAATTTATTGCTCACTTAAATTCCAGCCCTTGTTTTGGCATCATTCAGAGTAACACAATTCTTGGTTTTCAGAAGATCCTGGAAAATTTTTAGTTGAAGCTATGCTCATTATCTAAAATGATATTCAGAAAATATCAGCGGAGAAATAAAGAGATAATTGGATAAAAAATAAGTATTTCTTATTTACCCCAACCAACTATGGGCAACCACATTAGAGAGAAAAGAAGATACCTATTGCTCAAGTTAGATTTGGATAAGTACAGGAAATTGCATCTTTTGAAATAGATAAGATTTCCGATTGTATAAACATATAATAATAGCCTTCCATCATTTGGGTTAACATTTATTTACCTAAAATAAACTCTCATCCTGATGTCGTTCTGTAATTGGCATGTGACAGAGTGCACACTGAGGCGAAGGAGTTCAGAAAGCATCCTCTATCTTTATGTTATAAGAAACTTCAGACTTTCCTAAACAGACAAACTTTATTTTGTTGCTATGCAACTGACATGCAACACAGGCCATCGGACAGTAAATAAATTATGAATTTTACAATGAAAAGTCTTTTCCCTGTTTGAGAACAAGCCGCAACTTCCTTTCATGCTATACTAATCCACCGCAGCCCTCTAAAGCTGTTTCACAAACACCAGTGTTTTGGCAAGATAAACAAATGAATGAATAACACAGCAAGGACACAGATGCAGTTTGCAAACTGCACGCAAAGAAGCATCAATACCATTTGATTCATTGCTACAGGGCTGGGAACCTGAGCTCCCCAAACCGGGGGGGAGAGAAGGAAGTTTATTTCACACCCACATTCTTCCAGATAGCAGAATATAAGCAAGTTTAAACAAAAGAGATTCTGACAATTTCTATTGGCAGGTGCTCATCACTACACGTCTCAGGCATGATTCTGTGTAGGAGCATAAGAGGGATGTAGCCACGAGGGAAACATCTGTGAGGACAAGATGTTACAGGCATTGAGGACCTGTGACTCATGGGCCAGACATGGGCCACAACCATGTTTAACATGACCTGCTAAATGTTAAATATTTGCCAACACTTAAAATCTCTCCATAACAATGTAGATGTCTAGCTTTCTTAGAAAACGCAGAAAATAACACTGAGCTTGCATTTTCACAAAAATCAGTTAGAACCAGCTTCCAGGAGAGAAACTGCAAACATCCCAAACATGTAACAATAGGAGAATGAATAGATAAATTGTGGTATATTCATACTGCAACAAGCAGAACTAACTACTGATATATTCAACAACACGAATACATTCCACATACTTTGTGCAAAAGAAACCAAACACAAAAGCACATACTGTATGGTTCCACTTACATGAAGTTCAAGATCAGCCAAAACTAATCAAAGGTGATGGAGGTTACCCTAAGTTTACTTCTGGTAGAGGGGGTACTTTTAGGGATGATGGAAATGTTCTGTATCTTGATCGGGGTGGTGGTCCCATGGGTGTATATGAAAAATTTACTCACCTATGCATTTAGGTTTGAGCACTTTACATACCTCACTGAAAGCATTTTATACCACAATAAGGAATAAAATTCAACAAAAAGAATCATTTGCTGAGGAAAAGTTGATCTTTTTGATGGGGCATGTCCCACACCCAACAGCTGGCTCATTACGTAATCTGCTTGGCAAATCTGACTTGATGCACCTCACTCTAGACTCGACCAGTGGTTCTCAAAGCGTGATGCCCAGACAAGCAGTACTGGCCTCACCTGGGAGCATATTAGAAATGCAGATTTTCAGGCCCCACCCCAGACCTGCTGAATCAGAATCTATACGAGTGGAGCCCAGCAATCTGTTTTACAAGCCCTCCAGGTTATGGTGCACTCTACAGTTTGAGAAGCACGACTCCAGAGCACTACTTACATTAAATAACATAGAAGAGAAATAGACTTGGTCTATATTAAACCATCCATTCCCCATGACCCCTTTCCCCTACATTTTCAAGAAATTCAGGAACAGAAAAGTCAACTTGCTTTCTCAAAAAATATTTATCAGTTTCAGGGAATAAAATTCCCAGAAATGGGTGTGCAACAAACACACCCCATTCCTGTTTTAGTCACCAGAGAGCTTTGGTTTTAGTGTTGTTACAACTGGACTGGAGACACTCAAAAAAAAAAAAGTAAAAACAACTTTATATCTTTCTGATTATTGAAACAATATAGATCATAAAGCATTCAGTTACATTACAGTTCTGAAGAAAAGATGGAAATCTACATTCAAGGAGGTAAAATGACCCCGGGGGTCACAAACCTGTCTAGAAATTCACAAATTAAGACAACTAATCCCCATTCTCAGGTAACTTGCATAAAACTTAAAACACCATGTGGATCTCTATCTGCTGGGGAAGTTATCAACTTTTTAGCAAGTCACCACCCGACCATGTACTATGCTGTAGCCAAAGTGGACAGTCTTTGCCAGTAGCAAAGGGATTTCTGAATCATTGGGGGAATCAACTTTATTACATACTATTAATGGATTAATATGCATTGGAAAAGCGTAAAACAGTTACATGATACGACAATAATATTCCCTCTTGGTATTTGGCGAAAAAATAAGAGGTAGCTAGTCCTTCTCATTATTAAATAATTATTAAATTAATAAAAATTAAGTATTATTAAATAATTCTTCTTTATCAGACCTCAATATAATTTCAGAAAGAAAGATCTATGTTTGTGTCCATCATAATATTTAGGAATGCCCTAGCATTTAAAGGAAGAGAGGGAAGAAGGGAGGGAGAGACAGACAGACAGAGTGGGAGGAGAGATCTGAGAATAATAAAACTTAACATATTTTAAGGTAGTAATTCTTTCAATTGTTTTACTAAATATTTCACCATGATTGGACAACCAGGGAAATGGTGAAAAATCAATTTCGAAATTACTTTATCTACCAAGTTCACCCCCAATGTGTCAAATGCCTGGTGGGGAAAAATAATCTAAAAGTCACGTGACTGGGGTTTTGTGGGCATGCAACCAGTGCAAATGCACAGCACTCCACACTCAAAAGGGAGCCTCACACTTGGGTTTAATGCTCTGTGGTTGTTGGTTTAAGACTCTTAATAATCTCCTTTGAGTTTGTGTTTTACAAGTAAGGGCCGAGGAGACAATGGAACATGCCTGTGGCTTGGATCCTAGAATCATACATTGTCCCATCTCCCACCTTCTCCCTACCTTCCCTGAATGAGTCCTTGGCTGCTGGCTCTTCCACCTGCCCAGTGACAGGGCCGCACTCCACCTGGGCACGGGCACAGAAGAGTTGGGGCAGGCCGCAGGGTGGTGTCCCAGGCACCTGTGAGGGCCTTCTCTTGCCATGTGAGTATCTCAAAGCCCAAGGAAATGTGACATTAAATAGCAGATACAAGATACCACAACAGGTTCTGAGAAAAACTGTAGAAAAAAGGAAAATGCCTTTCACTGCTTTTTGAACAAGAGGCCAACATTTTCATTTGACATGATCCTCACAAATTATGTAGCCAGCCCTGCATGTGACTGTGAATGGGACAGAAGCAGAAGAATAAAGAAGAGGAACCAGGAGGTAGAAGAGAATTGATGGGGTATGCACAAGGGGAACACAGAGGTAATTATGTTCTGAGATTAAAATAGTTGAATTCCATACTGTTACAAATGCACCAGATATATTTTTTTTCAAAAACTGCTTTATTTCTTTGTGATTAAGAAGCAATATATAGCATAAAATATTCAGATAGATTCAGACACTAAAGATGTGAATGGAAATCGACATTCAAAGAAGTGGCATAGCTCAGGGTGCTAAAAAGTATCCAGAAAATCACAAATTATCAGCAACTCATCCGAGCTCCGTCAAGTGCCACCCCTCAGTGTTGTGAATCCAAATCTTCTGTTTCTCCAGGCATGTCCAACCATTTGAACCTGAGATTGCAATCTGAGAACACTGTCTCAAGGATATCTAAATGCAATGCCACTTAATAAACAGTAAGATCAATATCTTTCTACCTCAGCCTTAGCTACCTCCGACTTTATCAAAGGATATCTTTCGGTTTTTAGCACTTTAGCCTGCCAGAAGATGACGTTGTCTAAACACATTTTCAATGTTTTCTTTTTAACAGTTAATATATTTCCAGGATGCAAGTCCATTTCTTTCTAAAAGGTTCCTAGGACACCCATTGAAAAGTCAGAAGCAATGAACTAAAAGGGATTGCTATTTTGTTGGAGAAGAACGACACCCTTTGTATCAAAGTGGGGAATTACAGTCTGTGGTCACCCTCTGCACAGTGTCTCTTTGTCAAGTAATACATGCCGGAAAAAAATAATACAGATGGGAAAATATTGTGCACTGTCAGATCTTGGAAACGGCCAAAGGATTTTTCCTCACCAATGTCTTGTCGATGACTTTCACATTCTGGCACCCTGAAAAATAATGCATACATTTAATATGAAATGAATGCAATAATAATCAGGCAGGTAATCGTTTTCCCAAGGAATGTAAAACTTGACAAATGTAAGGTTTATGATTCAAGGTAGGCTTGCCAAATCTTATGTGGCATGAGACCATTTTTATTACCTAAACAGTCCTTAACACAAAATGACTGGCACATAGTTTTATTAACACAAAGAGTATATTCTTTCTGCCACATTTAACAGAGAGTCAGTGGCTGAAAGCTCTCTTTTAGGGTATGTCTGTAGCAAATTAAAACGCATAGTGAGGATTCACAGAATGGCATTCTTCTTGCTGAGGCTGTCCACACAGGCTCAGCACAGTAGTGAGTAGCCCATTGATCTGGGGCAGTCTGGGCGATATGGATCACAGAAAAGGAAGCCCTCATTACCTTCACAAGTCGGGGAGTTGATAATCAACTCAAGGTCATTCTTTGCACCTAGAGGTCCATTCTGAGTCAAATTCAAATCGGTCACTAGTTATAATGGTACTTTTCTATTTATTCATTCTTTCAGCAAATATTGTTTATGTGCCAGGCACTGCCCTAGACACTGGAAATTCTGCAGTGAAGACAACAAAGACCCCTGCCACATGCTTCTTATATTCTAGAGAGGGAAGAGATAATACATAATGCCTGTAATTTAAACAGTAAATTATATGATCGACGATGTGATAGGTGGGAAAAGGAATGAAATAATAACAGGGAAAGGAAACTAGAGGTTGAGTAGGTGGATGGAGAGTGGATTGTCATTTTAAATGGGGTGATCAGGACAGCACCCTTGGAGAGATGATTTAAGTGAAGACTTGAAAGACGGGATGGAGTTAGCCATGCAGATACCTGGGGGAAGAGCATACAGGCAGATGGAACAACCAATACAAAAACCCCAAGGCTGAAACATGTTTGACGTAGTCAAAGAACAACAGGGAGGCAAACATGGCCTGGGTGGAAAAAGCAAGGGAGATCATAGTAGGAGTTGAGGTCAGAGAGAGGACAGAGGTCAAAGCACATAAGGCCATTATAAGGACTTTGGCCTTCGGTTTCTGATCAGAAGAATGGCGTAACCTGAACTAATGTTTAAGAAGATCGTTCTGATTGCCATGAGCAGAGTAGGCTGGGAGGGGGAGGAGGCGAGGACCGACAGACACCTGCAATAGCCGAGGGAGGAGAGATGATGGTGGGAAAGATACACAGAAAGACTATTGCAAAATCCAAGATAGAGAGAGATGATGATAGCTCCAGCCAGAGTGGGGGCCGTAGAGGTGGTGAGTGAGGCCAGGTTCTGGTTATATTTTGCAGATAGAGCCCCTGTGGATGTGAGAGTGTAAGAGAAAAGAGGAGTCAAGAATGACTCAAGATTTCTGATCTGAGCAACTGAATCAATGGTATTAACATGAACTGAGATTAGAGAGTCTATAAGTGAAGCAGGTTTAGTAGGAAAACTTAGCAGTTTACTTTTAGACAAGCAGAGTTTGAGATGCCACTTTGACATCCAAGTTGAGGTTTTGACTATCCAGTTAGTTAATTGCTCATGTGTTATGAAATGAGGAAGAGTCTGATGTAGCATTTACCCTTAAGGTACTCATATTCAGCCAAATATGCCTGATAAGACTGTCAAAGATAGAGGCTAAGTGACTGTTACAGACCATGCACGCTGTAGAGTTCCTCAGTTCAGAACGTGCTCTGCACTTGAGCTGTAAATATAAAGCCAACTTCAAATTTAATTAGACCCCAAATAATTCCATCCTCTTCCCCCTCAAATTCACTTCTCTCCAGCAAGGAGCCTGGCTTAAAGACCACTAGAAGAAAGGAAAGCTGTAAATGAGAATGACAAGTCTTACCACTCAGAGCCATGGCCAACCGGAACTCTTCCTTTAGTATCTCAAGGACATCTTGAACACCTTTCTCTCCCTAAGCAAGTAAAAGATACAGATCTTTTGGGTAAGTCAGTCTGACTTGATTCACTTATTTATTTCACTGCCAAATCACCCTGGTTTGTTTTTGTTTTTGTTTTTGGTGAGCTAACATCTGTTGCCAATCTTCCTCTTTTTGCTTAAGGAAGATAGTCGCTAAGCTAACATCTGTGCCAATCTTCCTCTATTTTATACGTGAGATGCTGCCACAGCATGGCCACCAACAAGTGGTACAGGTCCATGCCCAGGATCTGAACCTGCAAACCCCAGGCTGCCAAAGCGGAGTATGAGAACTTAACCACTACGCCACTGGGCCGGGCCCAACAAATCGCCCTGTTTTATATATTTATTTCTCTGCCTCCGATTACCTGGGAAGCCAAGCCCCAAATGATCGGTCTCCCCACAAACACAGCCTTGGCTCCCAGGGCCAGAGCTTTCAGAACATCAGTGCCTTTCCGCACACCCCCATCCAGGAAGACTTCCACCTTCCCTTCCACAGCCTCCACAATTTCCGGCAGAGCATCAATCTGTGGAGAGAAGAGGTCAATAATGTGATACTACGTATCTTGAATTGTTACCCAACTCAACTTCCACAGGCCACTGACCTTCTGGCTAGGGCTTAGAGTGAAAGAAGCTGAGTAGGTTTGGGATCAACAGTAAAATTATCCCCTTCTGAGAGAAAGAAGAAGTGCAAATGCTAGTAACTGAAAAACCAACTAAATTTGGAATTGAGTGGCTTATTTTTCTTTCCAAGTTCAAAATTTTTTTCTGTTCCTGATATTCAAAATTAAAGATTATGATTTTAAAAAATATAAATACAATTTTCAAACATGTAATGACATTTTATAGCTATTCTTTATAAAACATATAAAAGTAAATGATGTATCGTACTCATATAAATTATTCTGAACATTACTCCTTGAAAATCAATTGTTAAAATTCATACTCAGCTGATAGTGGAAGCAGTGGTGTATTAAAATGCAAACACAGCTAGTAATGAAAAACTTAGTCTCTGATTTCCCCATGCAACATACTTTATTCCAGCCATACATTAGAGAACTCTCCATGAAAATGTTTTTCTTGCTTTTAAAGGAATATGACCACATGCGCCTTGAAGGTCTTTGTCTTGATTGGCAATTAATGACGGGCTTATCTTAGCCCTAGAGAACACAAAGATCACATAGAGTTTGACCCCGTGGATTGCATCATTGTTCCTGAGCCTTTACACCACTCTGAACCCACTCCTCTTCCAAGGCAACTTTCAAGTGTTTCCCACTAAAAGAAACAGAGTGCCTTTGCCCACTCCTTGATATTGGCCTTGGCCTTGCAACCTACCTTGGTCAATAATGTGCCATCAGAGGTGGCAGAATGCCATTTCTGGGCATAGGCCTTAAGTGACCTCATGCATTTCAACTTTCTCTTGCACTTGTGCCATTTGCCATGAGAGGAGCATTCCCTGGGCAACGCTTCCCCTTTAGCTGGGGCCCCAGAATAAATATTCGGGAAGCAGAACTAGCCCAGCCAAGCCCAGCTGGACACGAAACTTGGAGTGCAGCCACCTAACCAGCACCAAGTCCAGATCGGCAGACCCCAAGCTTACACAAAGTTTCATGGGAATAAAAGACTGTTGATTTAAATCGCTGAGTTTGGAATCTTGTTTTACAGCATCATGTGGCATTAGCTAATACAGTTGGCTAATAGCCAATACAGTTAACGGCTAATAGCTGATACAGTTGGCTACTTTGATGTAAATGTTTGCACTTGAGAATGGAAACAATTCCCAAGGTGACCCGTAGGTCAAAATCTGTAGAAATTACCCACATTCGTCCCCAAATATTTAAATATAGAATTAAATCCAATTCCCGTTTAAAATGCATGCAGAAGAAGCTACCACCCATTCAAGTTCAGTTTTTCTAGAAATAATGGTGCTGAAATCATCAGCTGAAAAAGGCTTTCCCTCTTCTCTCCTAAAATTTTGGTGGCTAAATTTAAAGAGAGTTTTATGTAAAAGGCTGACGACCAAAGCCGACTATAGATTTGGAGGAAGTGAAGGCAACGTTTGGCCTGCAGCCCCTAAATGTTTGGCAGGTAATGTGATTTTCCCCTTTTCCTTTTGGCTTTTCTGCTTTGCTAAACACGCATTGGATCCACTTACATATGTCCCTTTACCTATACATAGTCCTCCTTTTACAGTCAGGCAAATTACATCAACATACAAATGCTACAATTTCCAAGCGATGATGCAAGCTGTAATTAAGCATATTTCCCCATTTGAAACCAGAACCAAAGAAAAATATTAGCTAGCTTGGGTTCAATACACATTTTCAAAGTCACGCAAATCAAGTCTGTTTAGGTTATTTCCAATGCCCAACCTGGCCTGAAAGGAAACTAATAAGGATCCTGAAAATGTGAATCCTGGGTTATAAAATAGAGCGCAGACTGGTGTTCCATGGGTCTGTGGACAAGGATGTTCTGTCCATTGCTGAGGATTTCCAGCCTCCTCCTTTTTCTCTCTGTAGTTGCACTTTCCGGTTGTATATTTCAGAGAATAATTCTGATTAGAGGAGATTAAATAAACATAGTAGACAAATCCACTATTTTATGACTTACGTTTCCTCTTTTCAGCTTGCTACCCATCTAAGAGACCATTCATTTCAGCTTTTCTTTCTTTAGTGTTTCTTTAGACAACTACTTGTGGGCTTAACTCCAGTGGGGTTGATCTACAGGAAAATATGGTAAGATCCCAATATGCTATCGCTCACTCAGCCATCCATTCACTGACTTATCAAACACTTCATTGAGGATACAGTGTATTCAAGGTGTCCTGCCAGGTGGTTCAAGGAGTCCAAAAAGAAGGCCATGGAGATTTGAGAAATATGCAGGGATCCGACTCACGAAGAGACTCCTCTTTCCCATTCTGCTCAAGTCCCAGTCTTCCAGGATGCTCCCTGGCCCACAAAACTTCCACTCACATGGAGTACTGTCTTTTCTACCTTCCTATAACAGTCACTGTCACACTCCTGATTTCTGACATTTTAGGTATGGAACCTTTTACAGGTTTCAAACCAAAGCAGCTGCACGAAACTAAAGCAGATAAAGCCAGAACTGCTTTAATCAAAAGTGAAGGGAGACAGAGTCCGGGCCACTACCCCCAAAGCCTCCCCTGACTTTCTCTGCTCCACCTAACGCATCACACTCCACCAGGCCGCTCTAGGGGAGTTTCCACTACGCACACCTAGAAAATCACTGCTCCATATGGGCTTGGCTGATTGTTTGCAACTGCAAAAATGGCTGCAATTCTTTCCCTCCCTATCTTCATCTTCTTGCAATGTGACATTTCAGCTCCTCCCATCATGCGGAAGAAATGGGGCCAGAAGGGTATTTCCCCAACTCTTGAATCTGAGCCATCCTTGTGACTTGCTTTCACCAAGAGAATACAAGAGGAGCGACAGTGTGACCATTTTAAGCTTAGATCTCAAGAGGCCTTGCAAGCTTGCACTTACTCTCTAGGAAACCTGCCACCTCATGAGAACCAGCCTACCTAATGTACCAGACGTGAGACAACACAGAGCTGACCCTGCTGAGGTCATGCAGCACCAGCCTGTCCTGGTAGATCCAGCAGCTGACCACAGATGCGCACGAGTGAGCCCAGCAAAGACGAGAAAAACCTCCCAGCAGATCCCAGCCCAAATTGCCAGCTCACAAAATTGTGACACGAATAAATGGCTATTGAGTTTTGGTCAGTAAGTTTCAGAGTGGTTTGGAACACCACAAAAGCTAACTGATATATCAAGTGTTTCCCAAAGATAGAATTGCATGGACCCCTTTTAAAGATTTTTATTTTTTTTTTCCTTTTTCTTCCCAAAGCCCCCCAGTACATAGTTGTATATTCTTCATCGTGGGTCCTTCTAGTTGTGGCATATGGGACGCTGCCTCAGCGTGGTCTGATGAGCAGTGCCATGGCCGCGCCCAGGATTCGAACCAACGAAACACTGGGCCGCCTGCAGCAGAGCGCACGAACTTAACCGCTGGGCCACGGGGCCAGCCCCTGCATGGACCCCTTTTAAAAGGAGAAATATAATCTACCTAGATCTCATAGAACATAGCTGAGGCCTCGATTTTGGAAACACTTGATTGAACAACCCAAATGCTTATTTTATGAAAATGTTTTGCAGTGGAGAATTTTCACTGGAAAAGAATGTCATATTTTTAAGCTTAAGGTAATCTGGGTCCAGTTACCATTGAAACAAAAATGAAAAACAATGTTTCCAGAGGTCAAAGACTCCAGAGATTCTGTCATTAGACCCCAGGTTGAGATATTCCAGTACTACAGATTTGGGAAATATTCTGTCACATTGTTCTCTAATTACTTCAAGACCAGTCTTGGCACATTATTACCTCAAGCACCTTGACCTGAACTTAATTTTTAACTCTTTTTGGGTACAGCAGAGGTCTTGCAGTGGTTCTCAGTAGTACAATGTTAAGACAAATGGAAGTTAAACTCCTATTTGAGGACTCCTAGTGATAAGTATTTCTCCATCCAAGGGAGCTTGGTGATTTATAGGAATGTAGAAAGTATATAGTCCAGCTGCTCTCTTTTTGCAACCAACACAATAGTATGAAGAGGCTCAGGCTGAAAAGTCTGAGTAACTTGTCCCCTCAGCTCTCACCCTTTCGAGGAAGCAAGACAAGGACTTGAACCCAAGACTCTAGACTCCCATTTCAGTGCCCTTCCCATGACATCACTCTGCCTCTTTGGCTCTGACTTATGATGTCACAGAATCTGCAGGACAGCAAGGCCTCTGTGTGTCTGCTGAAAAGTTTTACACCACAGCCTCCTTCAAGCCTCTTGCCACTCACCTCAAAACCCACACGGTGAGGGAAAAATATCTTCACCATAAACTGAATCCTTTCTCACATTTCTCTCCCCATCACGGGCCTTAAATTTGCTCTAAAGTATGAGGCAAGACTCAAGTAGGCATCTCCTCTCTTGCACGCAGCATGCGAAGGGGAGGGTCATTGTTTTTTTAAAAACGGGCTCAGAGACCACAGCTCAAAAAGCCCTTTTAGATAAGTTTCCATATCCCCTCAGCCAGAGGGAAATAAACCACACCATTTAGATATTTTTCCCTTAAAATCTAGTTAGATTTGATTTCAGTAGATTTAGATTTTATTTTTAGAAAACAAACTTAATTTGGCCCTCACACTAAGCCTATGTCTTCATACACAAGAGAGGCATAAATCTGGGAAAAAGCCTTGAGCTGTGACCAGCTTCTCCTCCCCGCCAGGGGTCTTCACTCTCTACCTCTAGTTACCTGCAGGTAACATTTAATATCGTCTAAAAAGATGGGTCTCTATAAGGCAAGCTGAATTGGAAAGGGCTAAAAACTTCCAGTTTTATGATTTAAATTCTTGACTGTGTAATCACACAATGTGCAAAGACTTGGTTCATTCCTACCATTAGTGCTTTAGAAAAAACTGTGAGTACAAATATACACACTCAATATTTCCCCTGTAGTCATTTAGTCTGCCCTATGATCTACCCAACTGGTCTACGAGTTTAGCTAAAGCAACCTAATAGTTCAATGAAATAATAATCCACGACTACTTGACTAAATTATTTGTTCTACTCTACTTCCAGTTGTTTGAATGAATTCAATGGGTCATCCCAATAAAGCCATCCATATAATAACTTTGCCCAAACCATTCCGATAAAAGGAGGGAAATGCATATAAATGATTCAGTTCAGAGATGGTGGTCTGGAAAGCCCATCCACATTATTTTGTAAATATAGTTTTTTAAGCTTTATTACATGATGCTAGCTTCCTTCGACTATCATGAATCAGATTATGCAATATTGAAGTTTAAAGCCACCAAAGAAATAATCTAATGATGTTTAAACTTTAAAAGGTGAGGAAACTAAGGTTTGGAGTAGAAATCAATTCCCTCTGTTGGGTCACAGTTTGGCCCTTCTCTCTTTTCCTTGGCTGTCACAATCATCAAGGCCACCTAATTGAGCTTCCTGCCTCCTGTCGTGCCAAAATCCAATTTATATGACTTATTGCTGCCAAATCAAGGCTCTTCTATTGCATAGCCAATGACTTATAATATTCAAGGACCTCTTCCCTCACCTGTCCAGGCTGCCCTATTTCCCAGGACTTCCTCATTCCCACCAGACACCGTAAACAAAATGGATTATTTGGTATTCCTCAAACACGTCTCGCTCTTTCCCATTCCACATTTAAGCTCACGCTTCTAACATCAGGGGTCCACCTAGGGACAGGGCAGAGGTGAAAGGCACCTGAAACACCATTGTCTCATCTAAGAGAATCTTGGCCAAGTCCCCACAAGTAGAGAGCATATAAGAGAGCTCCTTTTTAAAGTCTCACCCCACTCCACCAACAGCTCCTGGACCCATTCTGGATCAAGAATGCCTGAAATCCACCCCAGGATATGTGTCTGTCCTCATGACTTTTGATCCCTTTCTGAGCCCCCAATCCTTGATCTTAAAATCTACCCCAGCACTTCTGCTGGTCTCCTTGGCTCTTGGCTCTCTTGGGGCTAACTGCCCTCCTTACAGTTCTAACTCAGTCCCAGACCTTTCCAGCCAGGTTAGTTTACTTTACTTTTCTATCTGGATTCTGCACTCTGATTTGCCTAGCACAGTGTGTACAGAGTATAAAAACCATAGATGCACACTGGAATCTCCTGGGTAGCTTTGAAAAATACTGGTGCCTATGACCTCCACCCCTGAGATGCTGATGAATTACTCTTGTGCACAGCCTGGGCATCGAGAGTCTTTGAAGTTCCCCAGTGATTCTAATGTGCAGCCAAAGTAGCTCACAGCTCAAGCAGAGTAGCCTATTTCCAGCCAACCTTCCCTCCCCTGGGCCATGGGATTTCTCTCTCCTTTTCCCACCCACTCAACATCTCTCTGCAGCTTTTCAAGCCCACATTCACAGGAAATTCCAGCCTTTCCCTCCTCCTGACTTCGTGTCACATTTGTGCCGATGATCTCAAACTCCACCTAAGCTTTTTGTAATTATGACAATTGTCTGCCAACTCCCCTTCTTTGGACTCTCATGGCAGGATCATTTCTTTCATATTCCAACTTACATTATACTTATCAGTGAACCTATGAATACAAGAATAGTCTCTGCCCACAAATGGCTTTTTATTTAACAGGGACTTTTATAAGTTTACAAATAAATGTACTGGACTAATTAATGATCTAATTTAGGTAGTTATATGCCATTCAAGTTAAAATCTGAGATCTCATATATTCATACATATTCTACCTTGAGTGTCCACACAAAAATATACACAGAGAAGATGCAGATACAGAGACAGTCAAAACTGTGATGGAAATGAGAACTCCAAAGAGAAATCCCAGCATTCGCCGAAACTCACAGTGGCTGGCACCCCATCAAGTTGTCGAGCCCCATGATTCGACACCAGAATCCCATCCAAACCGTGTTTAACTGCCTCCCTGGCATCATCACCTAGAAAGAGGAAGACAACCATTATATGGCAAAGGCAACTTAACAGAAGGCTTAGGTTTAGTGGAAGCATCCCAGTCAAAGGAGCCTGACCTCACACATGGATACCTTGCTCGGAAACTGTAGCATAGAAATACACCCAATTAGTGATGGTTTCCTTGGCCAAAAAAAGTTGGCACTTACAACAATTTAATTATGAAATAAAATTTTCAATAGATAGAAAATTGGTATGCAGCTAAAATTTATTTATCCACATAAGGAAGTACTCCTGCTAAGTATTTTTTATTATTACTTATAAGATCATACTAGTTAGCATTTAGCAGAATTACTCCTCTACAATTTGGATAGCATAAAATAATCTATGTGTCAAGCACTTTAAGTGTAACAAGTAATGAACAAGTCTATACCCAAAACATTTTTTAATCCAAAGTTATAACTTCAGTGATTATTTTAAGTTATATTGTTCTATAATTAAATGTATTTTGCTCACTGAAGTATGTCAAAAATGTAATATTAAAATTATATGCTACATCTCTACAGTTTTAAAATAGATCAATGTTCTCAAATCAATTTCCAACATATTTTTTATATTTTAAACTATTCTTTTCCACATGCTCCCAATAACAAACCATCGGCTAACAGGATTATGAAAGTAACACTGCCTTTCAAGTTTGACACTCAAAAATAGTTGGTCCAAGGTTGTAGTGAAAATCAAATTTTGAGAACTTAAACAGATGGATACAGAACATCGTACATATTTACAAATTCAGCAATGGAGAGCAAGGGCAGATCTGATTAAGAATAATAAAAAAGTTTCATAGGAGGATCTGTAATTTTGATTGTTTTAAAATTTTATGCTAAAACACGATTTTCCAAACTGTTTCATGGAATACTAGTTTTTAAATATTCTTCTATTTTAAAATGATGCTAGTATTATTTTTCTTCTAAAATTACAGGGACATGACAATGTTAAACCTGTGTTTTATAGACTGAATCTTTGTGTCCTCCCAAAATCCATATGTTGAAGTCCTAACCTGCAATGTGCCAGTATTTGGAGAAAAAGATCTATTTGCAAGATTTCACTGGAAACTTCTCAGTCACTCAGAGGGAAAAGGCCCTAGCCTCAAGATGGAAAGATGACTTTTTCCCATCTCATTGATTGATCTATATTTTACATTTTAATGTTGCTTCATATTGGACCATACGTGGTTTATTACACAGCTTTCTTTTCCTGGATTTCTAATTGCCTCTTCTTTTTTCTCCACTTATTATGAGACTTTAGAGTATTCCCAAGTTCTTCAAACTTTCAATTATTCTACCTAACCTTTTTAAATTTCTTCTTTTCCCTCTGGACACAAGCTCCTGAGCCCTCTACCTTCCTGCTCTATCCTGCTTGGGTCACTCTCAAGGCCTACTGCTGACCTTCATCCTATAGGTTTGTTCGCACTCACTCTGCATTGAATCTCTTGTTGGGTTGAATCTAACTTGTGGCTTCATTTGGTTTATGTTCTCATTTGTTCCTAGAACATTCCTTTGTAACTTCCTAAAAAAGAATGCATGAGAGGTAAGCTTAGAGAGCATTTAAATACCTTCTCCTGTGTTTGAATGACAATTGGATTAGGTATGATATTCTAGGTTGAAAAATCCTTTTCCTTAGAACCTTAAAGACATTACTGCACTGTCTTCTAGTGCCCATTGTTGTTGACAAGAAGATGGATCCAATTTGACTCCCATTCCTTTGTAAGTAAACTGTGTAATTGTTTGCTTTCTCTATACACATTTTTTTCCTAAAATTTCATAAGGGATGTAATAAGCTGTGATTTTTTTCCCTCAGTCTAATGACTTATGTCTCCAGCATTCAGAAACTGTCTGTCTCTAATAATTTCCTCCCTACTTCTTTCTTTTATTTTTCTATCTGAAGCCCACATCAGTTGGATATTGGACATTTTAAAGGATCTTCAAGGCTTTCCTTCATTTAAACATATTTTCCCTCTATTTACCTTGTCGTTGTTTTACATTTTGGAAAATGTCATTGATTCTATTGTTCAATCAATAATTTCATTTTTAATTACAGAAATCACACTTTTAGTCTTTGGTAGCTCTTTTTAATATTCTGGTTTTCTTTTGTCAGCAGATTCTTATTATTTAGGTATATTTTCAACTTCTCTGCATCTATCATTTGGAATTTTTAAAGTTTTTTTTTGTTTTATCTCTTTCTTCTGGTATCCCCTTTTCTGTAGTTTTTTCTTGGCCTTCTACGTTTTGCTGTTTCTGATATGCCATGTGATACTAAATTTTCCATTTATACTTAAGGAAGAAAGATTGGGGAGCTGCTATACACTTCCTGGGCTGTTTTATAAATCAATTTCTTTCCTGCCAAGTCTTTGCCTGGAGTAGAAATTCTTTCTTGGAGCTTCATGTGGGACAAGGCCAGGAATGTTAACTAAGAGGCTAGTGGACTACGAGCTCCTCAAGCATCAGAATGAGGTTAGCATCATGTCCTGTTGTAAATGTTATCCACCCATAGGTTGTCCCAGCCATCCTTTTATTTCCTTAGAAAGGATCAAGCTACTATGCTAAGGTGCCCATCATTGCAAAGAGGTGAGGGAAGGGGACAGGACTATTGGCTGGTGCAATACTTTTACAAACAGAATTCCAATTAATGGCCTTGCTTTCAGTCTCCACTTCTAATCCCCCATCTCTATCACATATGTAGACTAGACACCTAGAGCTGCTTAGGCACTCCATTAAATAATTTGCCCCTGCCTCCTCCAGGGTTCCCGCCAAGCCTATGTTGAGAGGCAATTTTCTTTGCATTTTCCTCCTATCAATACGCTCCTTTACACTTTGTTTCTTTCATAAATTTCTTGAAATTCCTCTGCTGTTTGTGCCCCTCATCTTCCTTTGCTTTGCTGTCATAAGTCTCGTGTATTTTTCGATTTCTCTACTTTAATTGAAGTGGAGTATAGGTTTAGTAAGAGGTTACTATGAGTACTCAGTCCAGTATTTTGAACCAGAAGCTCAATACATTATCATTTAAAACGTGTTTGGAAAATGGTTCTCTAAAGATATGGCCTTAACACAGTGCTGTCCAATAGAACTTTCTGTGATGATGGAAATGTTCTAGATCTATGCAGCTCTATACAACAGCCACTAGCCACGTGTAGCCACTGAGTAATAAAAATGTGGCAGTGTGACTGAGGAACTAAAATTTTACTTTAATTTCAATTAACTTCGTGGCTGCCATATTGGACAGCTCCGTTTTAATGTTTGCATGAGTTTACCTATTCTAATAAAGAGATGTAGTATGGTATTTTTTTAAAAGACTACATATATCCATAAATAAACTTAACAAACAATGTAAAAGGTATTTGGAATTGATGTGGTTTGCTCTGGTTATCTAGTTGTGTGTGTGATACCTTTGACCAAATCAAAGGTAAAAAAAAAATCAAATATATGAACTCTATTGTTCTATGAACCCCATGAATGAGGATGTATGCAGTTCTCCAATTTATATTCAGATGTCTGCCACTATGTAGCTACAACCTGTGTTTTGAGAAATTGAGTATTATCAATAAACAAATCCTATACACTATGAAAAAGTGATTAATTGCCTAGGCTTAGTAGTCAGATCACTTGGATTCAACTCCCTTATCTGCTACTTTCTTGCTATGTAAGTGCCAAGTTACTTAACTTCTTTGGGCATCGGAGTCTTAACCTGTATCACGAGGATAATTGTTGATTAAATGAATTGAATGAGTTAGAAAGGGCCTGACATATATTGACCAGTCAGATAAATATTCACCATTATTATTATTTTCATCTGATGGTGTGGGGAATATAAAGTGAGAAGATGAGTAGCTGAAGGAAGGTTCGTTTGCTGGATGCTTTCAGCAAGTCTGTTTGAGTTTTGTTTTTAACAATAAATTCTCATGCTAGTGTAGATTGTGATTACAAAGAGCCTTTCATTCGAAGTAAGTGCCATGTAAGTAACAATTTGCTATCTTCTCTCATTTCATGTGGTTTTCCATGTTCTTCCAGGCAGTGCCGGGGAATGCAGGGGGAAGTGACAGAATGGTTTGCTCAGAAGATAGGATCATGAGTGTCTAGAGAAGCAAAGAAAGTAAAAATAATTTATGACCAGAAATGAGCCTCTTTCATTAGCTACTTACGAAGCCTTGTCCACAGTTTTACATTTTGTTTTAACTTAGAGAGAAAAACAATGTTGAATTAATGAGAGGGTCAGAATGTTCTGACTTAGCACAGTGTTCATGAATCTTTGCTATTTTCATTAATCCTTAGAGTTTACTGATATGGCATTCCACATTTGTTAATTTGCCAGTCGATACGTTAATTGATTGACGAATACAATAGTCAATAGGGAATCACAGTGTTTGCTATCTTATTAATACATTATGTCCATATTTTATCTTAAATACCAAAGGGAAATGTAAGTACTCAAGATTTACCCACAAGCTGTTAAAGCTTTTGACCCAGGATTCTGTGATATCGTACAGGAGTTTAGTAATTAAATCCTAGATACGTGGCAGCAGTTTTGAACACAATCCAGGAACATTGAGTGAATATTCTTTGAGAGCGTCTTGAGAAAAACGTCTACAGGCAAAGAGCTGGTTAGAGAAGAGTTTCTGAGAAACAAAAAGCCACTATGGAAGTGAGACAGCCTAGCTAAAAACCTTTTTTTAATTTTAAAAACAATGCTCAAAAGCACGATGCCTTTGCTCATAAAGCCATTTGCTTGTTAGCGTGAGTTCTGGCAATCCTGTCTCAAATAGATGTTTGGAGTTCGTGTTGAAGTTTTCCAAGGGCAGAGTCTAATCATAGCAAGAGATTACATCTTACACTCCGATTTGCATTCATTAAAATGCAGTTCCTGAAATGGTGGTAAGGGGGGATGTTTCATTGAGACCTTTCCAGTTGCCCATGATTTCATGTTCCTGCAAACATAATCTGCATCTTTCTGGTAAAAGGAAAATGAAAGAGGACAGGAGACTCTCAGTCAATCCCTGTGACTTCTGGATGAAGATCTGTGAAAGAGTGAGAACTAGATTTCCCAGAACTGGCCCCGCCACCCCTCCCCCCATCTCCAGATTGAGTTTATGCACTACTCAATGCAGTTGTTGTCATAGAGACGATTCCGGTTTGTTAAATAAATGAAATAAATAGTTACAGAAAAACTAGACAATGTAAACTGTACATGTGTAAATAAGTTATTTCCTTTGAAATGCCAAATGCCCCATCTCTCTTTCTCTTGTTTTTGAGCCCTTTCTGCTGAAATAGATTCATATCGTTTTCAATGAGGATTTTACTCAATGAACATTTGGGCCATCTCCTGTGTGCAAAAGATTATGAAAATATGTAGTGACATGAGTTACACAATTCATGTGGATGAAAAGTAAAAAGAGCTGATGGATGGTGGTGGTGCTGGTCTTAGGTAAGATGACCACAGAATGAAGTCCTAGAAACCAATTTTTCAACCTAACATATGATAGTAAAGTCTAATTCAATAGATTACCATCATATTCTAGAGGACAAAGTCATAGAAAATGACATATATTGGGAATCCTAAATTGAATAGTTGGTTAAAAAGTTAAATAACCTTATTCTTATATTTGTTCCCTATTTGACTTAGATCAATATGGGACTATACTAAAACTTTGTCTTCCTTGGTCTTTTCAAGTCAGTTGTCCTGGGCCACTTCTCTGATGAAAACGAATTAAATATTTAAAACTACGTTAAATTTCTAATTCAATTACACCCTCCCAGTTTCCTCAGGTCACAATCATCTCTTGCCTGGGCAACAAGAGTTTCTTAAATGTCCTTCCTGACCCCAATTCTGCCACCTCCATCCATTAGATCCATTACACAAAGTGTGATTTTTCTAAAATGCTAATCTGATAAGGTTGCTTCTCTGATCAAGATCTTTAGTTGTTCTCAAACATCTTAAAGTCTGCATTCTCTAATATGGCTTATATGATTTATAAGTTATTACTCATAACTGCTTTATTTTGCTGTTATCCCAGTCTGAGAAAGAGTCATTTGACCTGATATCATAGCCAAACTCAAGCATCATCTTTCATTTTGAAATGAGATCTTCCCTAACCCACTCTTATAATTGCCCACGTTCTATGTTAAGCTGCACCCTTATACTGCACAGATTTCTATCTCAGCCCCCGTAGCATCTTTATTGCACACAAATTCTTATTTCTGTGCATGCCTCCTACAAGAATGTGCTTTCCTTTGGGCCAAAGACATTGTTACTATTTTTTTTAATTTTTAGCATACAAGAAGTATGATAAATGTATATGAAATGAATGACTGAATGAATAAATGAATAGATGAATGAATGAATGGGGCAGAACTGTCAAGTTAATGTTGTTTAGTACCCACAGTTGAATGTAGCTACAGGAAGTAGCACTAACAATCATGAATGACAATACAGATGCCAGCAGGTAAGTGAAACTATTGTCTAAAGGTGTCTGCAACACCAGGATACGCTCATTGAAGTATAATCCACAGAAATTATGAACTAAGACAATGATCAACAGGACAGAGTGTAACAGTAGTTTTTTAAAAGCACAGATTAAGACATATCTGGATTTAAACATATCTCCACTACTTATAACCTTCGCTGGGCCCATTCTTTTACTTTGATTAGCTTCATTTCTGTGTGCATAAGATTAAGTAGATAAAGTCTGCGGCACGCTTAGAGCTTTTTAAATAGAGGTCATATGACTCCCACGTATTCAAGTAAAACCAATGAAAAGTTTTGATTCTAAGTCATCATTAACCCGGAGATAAGACAATAGAACCTCTCATCCCAGAGCCACTGGCTTAAACATTTCCATTTAAAATAATATGTTTTTGGCAGTTATCTATATAACCATACTGAAAAAAAATATTTTCAAAGGCGAGAAAACATTTTTGTGGGTGAACACATTTACACTCCAAATTATTATAGTCACTGGTACCTCCCTGCGGGATTTGAATACATGTGGATACTGGAGAAGGAGTCAAGTGCCTTAACATTCATGGCTTGATATTTGAGGATTTTAATGTCCTAGTCAACCATTCTTTACCATGAGGTAAACACTCAGAAATTAGTTCTAGTCACTGGAACTTGGAGGGAACAGGAGAAAAATAGAAGCTTTTAAAACAAGTCTAGCTGTTGTAATATCATCTTTGAAGCTTCTTTTTGGTCTGAGCGCAACTGTTGCAGCTTTCAACCAAAGCAATGAATTTGAGACCTTCTACCTAGATCTTGCTAAGCTTCACAATTTAGTGACAGCTCCAAAATAAGGAAATGATATCCCAATACCTTCAAAAAGTTGACTTCTTACTTCATGAAAGTCCTGCTCTCCTTCATAATATTACTTAAGAATGAGGAGATATTTACTCACTAACATCAAAAGGGAGAACTGAGAGACAGAATGCCTCTTTTGAGTTCCATGCTAATTTTTCTTGATTATTTTCCCTTAAAAATATCACGGCTCATAAAATCAGTATGAACTCAAGGAGAGAAATAAACAAACCTCTCAAAATGCCTTTTGCAACAATTGGCAGTGATGTCAGTCCTCTTAGCCATTTAATGTCCTCCCAGCTGATAGATGGGTCTATTGCTTTAGCCACGTATGTGGCAAGGCCACTGTTGTCTCCAAAATTTTCCTTAGGAGAAAATGCTAAATCATTGGTTTCAAAATTTTTCATTCTGAAATAAAGAAACAAATAAAATGAGAAACTTCCCAAAGGTAGAGATGTCTTTACAATGACTCATTCAATGAAAAAAGAAAAGTTACCCCTTTCAAATCAATTGGCTCTTCACTCCTTAACCGTCTCTAGGTTGGTTGCATGCATATTTTCCATGTTTTGATGGAGGATTTCAGGCTAGATGTGACAATCTAGTGGACTTAATTGGTCACAGTTTATTTTACATCTTAGGCTGTGTTTGTATAAATAAATCAGTTTCAAGAAAAAATATAAATTCCACATTCAAATATCTCTACCTTTTCAAGCCAGTTTATGAACACAGACAATAGATTTAATGCTATTTTCCGCCAGCAATGCATATTAATCATAATGATAAACATTTGCACGGTATATTAGAGTTAACAGAGGGCTTTTATATCCCAATATTAACAAAGTGTTTTTAAAAGCTTTTAGAAACTAAAATTGATACCCTATGATTCCTATTTTACATAGGAAACAAAAACAGAAGTGAAGAACAAGATGCCCCCAAACATAAACTAGCTCAGGCAGCGTTCAGGTCCAATCTGGGTATCTTGACTCCTAATTACATTCTCTTTGCTCAGATCTCAGTTGCATCCTGGCAATTGCATGTGACTTCAGGAAATCTTCCAATATCCTTGTGGAAAATTCTAGAGGGAATTGGAACTGCAGTAACACGTGTTAATACTTTCTGTCTGCTGCCACCGTAGACTTTTCTCCTGTCCTGCTATTGGGGGCGGGGGGCTTAAGGAGAAGTGCGAAGTATTTCCCAGCAAATGAGTTGACAGGTCTTGCTTTTCCATCCTCCATTTAGTTATTTTCTCTGAGACTCTCTGCCTGCTGACTCAAACTTCCCAGTCTTCCCCAGACGATCCTGACCAGGGCATGAGCTTTCCAATGATCAAGACCTTCATTTCTCTGCCTGTGGTGTGACGGTTAATTTTACGTGTCAGTGTGACTGGCCAAGGGGTGCTTAGACAGCTTGTAAAACATTATTTCTGGGTGTGTCTGTGAGGATGTTTCTGGATAAATTTTGGATGATTCAAATTAGCATTTGAATCGGTAGACTGATTAAAGATGATAGTTGTCACCAATGTGGACGGGCATCATCCAATTTGTTGAGGGCCCAAATCGAACAAAAAGGCGAAGGAAGGACAAATTTGTTCTCTCTGCTTGAGCTGGGACATCCATTATCTCCTGCTCTTGGACATTGGAGCTCCTGGTTGTCAAGCCTTCATATTTTTACCAGAACTTATACTATCGGCGCCCCAGTTTAGGCCTTCAGACTTGGATGGAAGTTATACACTGTTGGTTCCTCTGGTTCTCAGGCTTTTTGGTTTGGACTGGGCCACTGGCTTTCCTGGGCCTCTAGCCGTAAAGAGCATGTTGTGGGACTTCTCAGCCTCCATAACTCTCTCTCTCTCTCTCCATATCTAATATCTATAAACCTTTATATATCCTGCTAGATCTGATTCTCTGGAGAACTTGACTAATACACGTGGTTTTCTCCTGCTTCTGGAGCCTGAGTTACCACTCACACAGCAGGCCTGAAGTGTCAAGGATGTTGGTGTATAAACACCCCTGCTTCCTCACCCCTAGGCAGACTCACTCTGAGATGTGTTCTACATGATCTCCTAGAATTTTCCAGCAGCATTCAGCTTCAGTTGCCCACAGTTGTAGCTGTCTTGATTAACATGCCTGTTGTTTGCTGCTCTCCTTCCTTCGCACCACTTCCCCATTCCTGTGCCAGCATTCCCTTCATCTTCCAAAGGTACAACCTGCACTTAAATCATTGCCTCGCTCTCTGCTCCTAGAGGAACCCAAACTGAGACAAAAACCCACTGAGTTACTACCTTCCCCTATATTTACTCTTGTTAACCCAGCTCGGACCAGTATTTCTCTAATTCACCTGGAACCTGAGTCACCACCCACACAGTAGATTTGAAGTGTCAAGGATGTTGGTGGAACAAATACACCAGTATTTATGGAGCATACTGGCTCTGCTACCAGTTTACTCTACACCTGAAGTCTTTTCTCTTGGTCTAGTATCCTAATATCCTGACTAGATTTTGGCAGTTCTGCAAACTCAGGACAAAAGTTTTTTCTGCCTGTACCTCTGACCACCAGCTGGATGGCTGGTCATCTGGATACACAATGGTACCACCCATGTGACTTAGTTGCCTACAGCCCCAAACCCAATTGTTAACTTCATATCTCTGAAAGACTGTCTTTGAATGATGACAATGACCTGGATTCAACTTGCTCTTCTGCACATTATAAATTACTCTGCTAACCAATCTCCCCTTTGGGTAAAAGCACAGCTGTATCTTGATCTCCGGCTTAGTCACAGCTTTTTCTTCCCTTTCATTTGCTCTGTCACTAAACATGGAAAGGAGTTAGAAGCCATGACTACAACAACTTTTATTTAAACCTAGAATACATAAGCACACTATTTTTAAATTATTTTTTTAAAGAATCGTACAACTTCCTTTGATGTAAAACTAAGTTGAATGCTTTTTACATTTCAGTGTACTCTCATCGAAAATAGCTGGTTGTGTATCTTGGGCAGCATATGTTACAAAGACATGAACATTCACATCCCACATAATTCTATTCAAGTCATTGGCAAGTTTTTCTCAAGAAGGATTGAACAGTTGGTCCTATAGTTTCATGGATTCAGATGACCATTAAATATCATAGAAAATTCTAGCTCTGGGAGAGTCATACTGGTATCCATCTATTTATTGAGCTTTAGAATGGATTTTAGCTGAAATACTCAGGCATCTCTTTTGATCAAACCACTTGGGGTTGTACATTTTATCACAGAAGCTCGTCTTCTGTGGTCATCTTGAATTAAGCTAACCTTCTGGTCAATAAACATATGCTTATTATGAAGACCTATTCCATTACTTAAAAATGATACTAAGGGACATTAAATTCCAAATTTTTAAAAAATATTGTCAATAAGAAAAAGGTCCGGTCTGTCTATTCCATAGAAAGACTAAGGAAAAAAAGAAAAATATCTGTATGTGTATAAACTCTGCATAGCACCCCACCCCCATCCCAAACAAGCTACAGTGTTCCAGCAGGGGCGGGGTGAAAGGGTGAAATGGATAGGAAAAAACAGAAACATGGATAAAATTATATAAATAACTGCTGTTATTCTTGGACGGTGAAATGCAGATCAACACTTGAATGAATGTTGCCTTACAGAAATCTCAGCGCACAATGAAGCCTTGTTGTTACTCTAAAACGTTGTTCAAAGCCAGAAGCCAAGAAAAAGTTTTCAGATATCTTGACAGAGACCCACGATGGAGTGTTTTACCATGGCTCTGAGGAAATCTCCATGAACGCTATTTTTATTCGAATTATGACATATACACACACAAAAAAAACATTTAAAACGGCTTCTGATAACCAAAGTATTCCATTTTGTAAGGAAGGAAAAGGGCAACATCAAAATAATAACATGATTACTTAGAACTTGATTCTCTGAATCCCAACGTATGTAATAATCCAAAGGCAAGGGATAGAATTTCTTCTTTGTATGGGATTCATTGTGCCTTGAATGGCCCTCAAATATATTTTTTTAATCTAATATAGAAATTATTTTAGCTTTTAGTAAGTTAGTATCATAAAAATAGTAACAACTACTAAAGAAAGTTAGACACTATTAAATTACCAATAGTAGCACTAATTATAATGAATAGTGTTGAGATACATAATATTATTTATTATAAGTATTGATAATGTGACATTAAAGATAAAGTTACGTGTCTCCATAATAGGAAACAAAATAGAGCCCATGATATTAACACAATATTAGAGAGATTGAGAGATTCATAATACAAGCATACCTTGGACAAATGGCAGGTTTGGTTCCAGACCACCGCAATAAAGCGAATATCACAAGAAAGTGAGTCACATGAATTTTTTGGTTTCCCAGTGCGTATAAAAGTTTTGTTTACACTACACTGTTGTCTATTAAGTGTGCAATAGCACTATATCTAAAACACAATGTAGATACTTTAATTAAAAAATATTTTATTGCTAAAAAATGTTAACCATCACCTGAGCCTTCAGCAAGTCATAATTTTTTTGCTGTTGGAGGGTCTTGTAAAAAAAATGCAATATCTGAGAAGCGCAATAAAACAAAGCATAATAAAAAGAAGTGTGCCTGCACATAGAGGAATTGGTGCATGGGCCACCGGACTTTAATTCTGTGGTTGGGGAAACACTTCCATCAAGAATGTAGACCTACTAATTTCCTCCTCAGTGTGGCTGGCCAGATAGAAGAAAGGTTCAGGGCATGGATTTTATGCTTGAGGGCAAACTCTTGTTCACCTTCTTACTAGTCATGTTTTGTTGGGTACATCTCATATGATCAACTACATTTTTATTGATTGATTCAACATTATTTATTGAGCACCTACTATACGTCAGTGTTTTAGATGTTCAGGACATACCAGTAAATAAAACAACCAAAAACACCTGGCCGCCTGACCTCCTGACAAGGGGAGACAGAAAATATACAGAAAACATCATCAATAAGCGATCTATGGAACATGTTAGAACTTAAGTGCCATACAAAACAAGGAACCAAGTGGAACATAATAAGGGAGGTGAGCTGGTGGAGGCTTAACTTGAACTCTTAAATATGGCCATCAGAGCCGGCCTCATTGAGAAGCTCCCGTGCAGAGGAAATTAGCAGAGCATTGTTATTGTATTGGTTTCCTGTTGCTGCTATAACAAATGACCACAAACTTAGAGGCTTAAATATGACACAAGTTTATTCTAGTACAGTTCTGGAGGTCAAAAGTCCAAAATGCATCTCACTGGACTAGACTCGAAGTGACGGTGGAGCTGTTTTCCTCCCAAAGCCTCCAGGGGAGAACCCCTTTCCTTGCCTTTTCCAGCTTCTGAAGGCCAGACAGTCCCCGACTACATTCTCTGACCCTGATGCTCCTGTTTCCCTTTATAAGGACTCTTTTAATTACATTAAGCCTACCGGGATAATCCAGGATAATCTTCCCATCTCAAGGTTCTTAACACAATCACATCTGCAAAGTTCTTTGTGCCATGTAAAGAAATATACTTAAGGTTCTGGAGATTAGGACATGGACATCTTTGGGAGGTCATTATTCTGTCTAACCCAGTTACATTGTGAATGTTTTCCTAGCCAAAGAATTTTTAGACTATTGGGCCATGTACCAAGTCCTCCTTCACAAATCTTTCTCTCCCCTGCAAAGTCCCCCATACGTATTGCATCTATTCTGATCTCCACTGTTTATTTTTATTTTGGTTTCCCAGTGTAAGAACGTGTAGATCCACCCCTACTGTCCACATGTAAAGGAAGTGTGGAAGTTAGTCGTGCAGTGATTTGGGGAAAGAATGCTCCCAGCAGAGGGAACAGTCAATGCGGACGGTCTAAGGTGCAAGCGTGTCTGGTATGTTGAAAGAACAGCGGGGAAGCTGGTGTCACTGGAAGAGTGAAGATGAGGGTGCCAGGCACTGAGGTCAGAGAATCAGGCGGAGCTTCACAGGCCACGTTTATCGTGAGAGACCTGGGAGGACAAGGGTGGCCTGATCTGTTTTAGTGTGATGTGTTTTGGCTATTGTGATTAATAAATCATTTCAGGGCTTAAGGAAGCATGTCCCTGGGCAATTGCCAAAGGAGTAGGTGTCATGATTTACCCTGATCTTAGTCAATGTTGGAAATTACTTTTTTGCTCTTTCGACTGCCCTGGCTTTATACTGAAGAGCCAAATCTTCCCTGGGGTAAATGAACCATCTCCATGGGGCACAGAGATAAAAAGGCCCTGCTTCAAAGCCTCAGGAATCAGTTTAGTGAAGCAGCTTCATCCCTTGCTTCTTCCAAGAGCAGATGAGAATTCTCCTTACTCCCCCTCAGTTTCAGGAGCCTCCCTGCCATTCATAATGTGCACACATCCATGTGTTTTGCATATAGCCCAAGCAGAGACTACCAAACGCCTGAACTCTCGCTGGTCCCAGATGCCAAGAGCCGGGCCCCTCCCCCCGACCCAGGCAGAGGAAGTAGCAGGGGCTGGAAGGAGCCACTGCTTTACAGACTCATTCTCCTCTGGATTTCCTGCCTGCCTCGCCTGCCAAACCTCACTTCTGAAAAGCCAGCCTTCACCTTCTATGAGTCAGGTCAGTTGCGGAAAGAAATCTGATTTCATATCAGGCTGTAACAGATGAGCTTTTTGGTTGTATGTGGCCTCCAGCGGAAGCCTGGGCCTCCCATTAGCATGCTTTGCCTTCCATGGCTGACTGTGGGCCGCGGAGTTGCTGCCCATAAGGTGCTGGCCGGCTCTGTCGTCCACGAGGATAGACAAGCCCAGTGTGCGCTCTAGGGGTCAGGGGCACCGGACTGTGGGGTGTTTCCTGCGTTCCCTGTGACCTGGATGTGTTGCTCATTATGTGATCATCTTCAGAGGGGAGATGTGACAAGCTGGACAGCCGTGGCCACTCCTGTGCACATCGACAGCTGAAAAGGGCCTTTGTCTCCTGGTCCTTCACGTCATCTGGGCAGGAGCCGAGAGCGAGGAAAAGGGGAAGAAGCAAGTCAACCTTCCCGCTCCTGACGGAGTGGCTCTGGCACCAAGGGAGCAAGAGATACAGCCAGAAAGAACTGTGTCATCTCCCCCTCGAAGAAGACACCACTGTGAAACAGGCTTTGTTATCCAGAGCGAGAAAGTGCTTCTGAGGCTGCAAAGACCTGACTGTATTATTTATTTTTGTAGTAGTAACAGTATCAGGAGGGGAGGAAAAGGAATAGCAAATTCCTTTCCAAATGGCCACAGGGAAATCATGAGGAATGTTTCCTGTCAGAAGCCTCAATAGTAGGAGACAAATTATTTTAGAAAGTCTAAAAAACAAGGAGTAGTAGAGAAATAATGTGAATACAGATTTCATATTAGGGATGTTTGAAGCCATCTATTTCCTGATTAATTTGGCAAGAAGTAGGAATATGTGAGGGACTTTTGTTTTTGTTTTTATTTTCTTAGAAAGACAGGGTGTTTGGGGAACCCCGTCTGGGATACATGGAGCAGGTTTATTGGCAGGCCTCTCAGGGAAAGCACTGTCTCTTTTTGCCATTGGGCAACAGAAGGACCATATACGGAAATAATATCCTAAACCTGCCTGGAAGTGTCACAGAGATGGCATCACACAGCTAATTTATATATGGCTCCTTGGCAAGATTTTAAGCACAATATTTTATACTCAAATAGGTGTGTACACAGCAGAGCTATATGACAGCTATGTGACACCTATACAAGATGCTATATGGACCTATATGGTGGATGAGATACATCCCACTCTGACTATAATATATACGGGACGCTGGCTTCCAACGATCTTCTTGTCCTTCAATAGAATGCTGATGTGATTTTGAATCTTTTAGATTTTGAATCTTTTAGAAGGGTTAATTTTACATACAGACAGTAAACAACCTGCGAATTGATGTCTAGGATCCAAGGAAGGCATCCTCCATCATTTCACATACTCTGATGGATGCTTCGAAATCCTATCATCAAAACATCTGCCGTTAAAACTAAGGTTGTGATCCCAGTTCAAATACTTACAGCCCTGAAGGCTATCAGTCACACATTGGTATGAAAAACCTAAGAGCAGATGTTGGTGGGAAGTGGGCAAAGGAAGAAACAAAGGGGGAAAGAGGTCTGTAGCTTAGGGAGGTTGGAGTCTTTCTCAGTAAATTCCGCTGAGTTCCTGGCTGTGACTCAAGATGACTCTAATCCCAACATATTAAAAGGACAAGATCAACAATTTCTTGCTAATGGACAGGCTGAATGACCTGATAAAACCATCATAGTTCAATTTTAGATCACTAGATACATGGTTTTTGCTAAGATGAGTAACTGAGTGAATGAATGAATGAAGGAATGAACCAGTGAATGAATCTTGCTTGATCCATGGATGAACCACAATGAAAGAGGAATTTTGCTGAAAGAAGCAGGAGATGAGGGCTAAAATATGTGGCTTCTCTTGTCTCTACTCTTTTAGCTTTCTTCAATCTTCCTAGCCACAGTTGTTCCAAATACAATTAAAAAATAAAGTTAAAAGGTGGTTCTTTAATTTCAATAGACCAAAACCTAAGGTATTGGGATCACAAAATAATGTTGCCTGGGCTATATTATGTATCTTCCATCTATATGGCAACTCATATTATCCAAAACCCTTAATGCACTCTGGTACATAAATTTATTTGACTTTCACAAGTATATGAGCAATTCTTGTCTCTGTTTTATAGCTCAAGTATGTGACACCCACACAAGGTGTGTGATTTGCTGGAGATAATATATGTGGATGTTTGGCAATGGTGCCGTCTCTAGAACAAAGACCCTATCTATCCTAGACAAGATCCCATTCAACCATACTTTGGGACCAATGTTTTACGAAGATCTAATTCCCCAGGGCACTCACTTGGAAACTGGAGAAAGCCTCTGGAGCTGGTTTATGTTAAGAGCAAAGAGAGCTAGGAAAACAGCTCAGGGGCCCAGGTAATCAGAGACCCTTTGTTACCTGAGTTGGGGTGGCAGCTTGAACCTGTTACGCACATCATCGAAGCGGTTGCCCAGGTAAGGGGTGTCCACCGTCACAAATATGGCCTTATACCCCATCCGCTCAGCCCGCCGCACTAGCTGCTTGGTGACCTCACGGTCCTTGTAAATGTACAGCTGCAGCCAGCGAAGCGCCTCAGGACCAGCCTCTGCCACTTCTTCAATTGAGGAGGTGGCCCAGGTACTCAGCATCATGCCGGTTCCCAGTGACCTGCAAGCTGAGGGAGAAAGGGCAAGATCAAGGCAAGCCTGGCATTTTCCCCACGACAAAGCCTTCGGGTTGTGGTTCATGGGGTAAAGACAACTACATGGGTAATTTGGCAATAAGAAATCAAGTCTTTAAAAATATAGAAATTTGTATTCCTTCTACACTTTGTGAATTGATCCTGAAAACAAAAATGAGTCAAATAGCCAAAGATATGCTATAGATAAGGATGAAAAAATTGTGAACAACCTGAATGTCCAACCTTAGGGGGTTGGATAAATTGTAGTTCATATGTGAAATGACATGTACACACCATTTAAAGGTAATATTTTTGTGTTGGTTAATTTTATGTGCCAACTCGGCTAGGCATGGTACCCAGATGTTTGCTCAAATACGTCTGGATGTTGCTATGAAGATATTTTTTAGAGAAGATTAGCATTTAAATCAGCAGACTTCGAGTAAGGCAGATTATTCTGTATAGTGTGGATGGCAGATTATTCTCAACCCAATCAGTTGAAGGCCTTAAGGAAAAGACTGACCTTCCCTGAGGAAGAGGGAATTCTGTCAGCAGGCCGCCTTGAGACTTGAACAGCAGCATCAGCTCTTCCCTATCTACATCCTGCCAGCTTATCCTGCAGATTTTGGACTTTCCAGCCTCCACAATTCCATGAACCAATTTCTTAAATCTCTCTCTATATACCTATAGATAGATATAGATACAGATATATGTTCCTCTTTCTCGTTATAGATATATATAGATATGTATCTGGAGGTATACATATGTATCTACATATCTAGAGAGAAAGAAATCTTACTATTACAATCATAAAAGAATATTTATGAACATAGAAAGATGCTCAAGATATATTAAGAAAGCAAAAAAGGCTACAAAATGACATGTATAATGTGATTCCACATTTATACAAATGTGATTATTGGTATGTGAACCTAAACAAATGAATTGCTAATGATACGCGGGAGAATTATGGGTGAATTTAATTTTTTTCTTTCTTTTAAATTTTTATCTTTTAAAATTTTGTTAAAAGTGTATTCTATCATTTATGCTGTCTTTTTAACTTTTATAAAATACATACACTAGACATCCCAAGTAGACAGCAGTTACCTCACATCCTTTTGAGCAAGATGTCAAAAAATGAGCAAATAAATGAAAAATTAGATAAATTCATCTAACCAATTGTCTTAGAGAACTTGAAAGAATGTGGGTAGTAGGCTTTCCTCCAAAAATAGATAGTAAAATTGGGGTTAGGGTTAGTGGAGGAGAAAAGGATACAATGCTTAAATGCCATATACCAAACACGCTGAGAGATAAATGATAACTAGATAAAACTGACTATATGACCTCAGGTCATTGGATTTCTCTGCGTGCCCACCCTATGCCAAATGGGAGTAAATGTAGTTGTCCAAGTGACACTCAGGGTGATGAGGAGAATCAAGTGACATGCTGTTCAGAAAGCTACTTTGGGAGGTTAAAAAGCTTCCATGCTCCTCAAACTTTAGCAGACAGCCAAATCCCCTGGCGCATTTGTGAACATGCAGACTGTGAAAACACACTCCCAGAGTTTCTGATTCAGGGGGTCCAAGATGGGGCCCAAGAATTTGTCTTTCTATCCAGCTCCCAGGTGATTCCGATGCTGCTGGTCCTGGACCACATGTTTACATTTAAATAGTAGCATTATCATTTGATAGTGAAGCTCTAAAGTCAGCTAGTAATAAAATAGACTTTATTTTGGATAAATGCTACTTTTTCTATGCCTTTGAAGGTGTTTTTCATCCCTGTCCTTCAGGTCACAGGCCAGATAAAAAAGATAGGAGCTGGAGATGATCTTGTCAATGGGTCACTAATTTGTTCCCTCCCAGTGTTCCTCTGAGAATTTCTCTACTAGGGACTCATGGGTTGCAAAATATTGTCCAACAAACCACATTTGATTCAGTAATAACACATATGAACATCTGGACCATTGTTTGATTTTCATTAAGATTTGTAAATACGGAAAATAGCTCCAGGCCGTTCATGCTGTTTGACAGGAACACCAGGGGACATTGTTTGCTCGGGTTGGAATCCCCTAACCATCAATTTACTACAAAGAAAATACGTCCTGAAAAGGATGTGGCCTAACAATGATCACACAGAGATGGACAGCAGAATGAGATGCAAACCCAGCATGTCTGACCACTCCCCTAAGGCAGTAACCTTTCCAGAACTCCAAGAAGCCCTGGCACCAAGCATAAATAAATGTACTTCCCCAATTCTTCAGGGCTGTGACACTTGAAGGAGCAGGTTTGCTACATCCCTAAGGGATGCCACCACACCCACAGCTCTAGGAAGGCATGGAAATTTGGAAACCAGAGGGTATGGTCTGCCACATACTATAGGTGCAGAGTGTGGCTGCACAAAAGGATCCAGCCAGGAGGACTGCTCAGATGATAAGGCACCTTCTTGTAGTTTACACAAAGGTATCATGTGGGTAAGCAGGAGATCTGCCAGGAAGGATTAAAATCCTCAAAAAGATCTCCTTGAATTCATAAGAAATCCCTACAGACATTCCACACAGATTGCTGAAATGCTACAAACCAGTGTACCAATAACATCTACTTCACCTAAACCAACAGAATTGCAGGAGGTGTCCACCCTCACAAACATTTTGTCCAAATCACTTGAGCAATGCATGTCCAGAGGGAAGGAAGGCCAGTCCATGCCATCTACGTCCTGAGTCTACCAGCTCTGATACTAATGTCTCCAGCTGTTACTGGTGCTCAGTATTTACTTTCCAGTGATTAAATCATACAGGGCTGAAATTTTGAATCAGAGCCCCCCCAAATTCTAAATTACCATTGTTTCCAGTTGAAGGCATTTAATAACTCATTATTTGGTGATTTCATGAATTTACTCCAGCAGTCTCCTGGATACATGGGTAATATCATAGTCTGTGCTGACATATTATGAGTTGAGGCTAAGATATTACTCCCAGGTGAGAACAGGTGCAAAACTTAGAAGGCTCCAGGCTTCTTGGAAAGTATATTACTGATCACCATGATCCCCATTCACTTGTGATTATTTGCTGGAATAAAGGAAAATTAGTGATGCATTGCATCCAATGTTTTCAGCACACTTTATGTTAGAATGAGGTATGGGAGCCTGGGGTTTTGCAAGGACCATTCAGAGAGAGAATCACAGATTTGCCCGGTTTCACTAAGGACAGATCTGAGATTAAGTTGGTATGACAATTCTGCTTCTTAAAATATCGAAATGTTTCCATTCGAATTGGTAAATAACCATGGCTCTGAAGTAAATCACCCACCTGAGTCCTTTCATGTGCCATCACTCCCTTCTCCCCAGAAGGAACCCCTGGACCCCTCCCAGCCAACAATCCAGCGATTTAAGGGTTAATGCTGGGCAGAGCTGAGGACATCCAGAATGTTGCTAGAGCACCAGAGACCAGCATCTGAGTATCTCTTCTCATTGGTCAAAGCCCTTTGCTGCACTGGTTGCTAAATATTTCAAACAGCACTTTTCCTGAGAGATAAAAATATACTCTTGTAGCTCACGTCACTCTTTTGGGGACAAAACTTACAATTTTTTAATTTTATAAAGGACCTAGCATAGTCAGATTTTGTTGAGAAATTCTGATCAAAATTATCCTTGAAAGTTCCTGAAAGCACAAATGTTTTTGATTCTGTTTTCTCTCCCCATTCATTTTTCACCATGAAACTCTGACCCCCTGCTCTCAAAAGCAGAAACTGTCAGATTTCACTTTACAAAGGACATGGGTCAGCTTGCATGGAGTCCTCTTCTCAACTTGTGGTGCAGTAACGGAGGAGTCGGATATATGTTGCATGTTTGTAACTCCTGGCAAAAAGGAAACCACCTTTGAGGTGGTACTACTATAAAGGCAAGGCCTGGCTCTTGTCCATGATGAAGGTCCCCAATGTTGATCCGAGTCTAGAAAATTTGGCTTCCGTATCCAGGAGGCTACACCATCAAGTAAACATTGATCCCTTATCACAGAACTCCATTTCCTTACTTTCCTTACTTCTACTCACCCCCTCTTTTACCATCCCTAAGACACATCTTCTTCAAGGATAGACACCTAAACTTTTAATGCTCTAGATGTAGTCTTGTCGTTGTCAGAGCTGTTGAGTCGATTCCAACTCCCAGCGCCCCATGTACGGCAGAGTGGAACCCTGTCCGGTGTTCTGTGCCATCCTCTCACCCTCCGCGCTGTATCAAACAATGCTCCACTGCTATTCATAGAGCTTTCATGGCCAATTTTTTCAGAAGTGGGTGGGCAGGTCTTTCTTCCTAGTCTGTCTTCGTCTTGAAGCTCCACTGATGCATGTCCAACATGGGTCACCCTGCTGGTGTTTGAAATACCAGTGTCATAGCTTTCAGCATCACAGCAACACGCAGCCACCAGCGTACAACAACTGACAGACCAGTGGTGTGGTTCCCTGACCCGGGAAGGAACAGGGGCCGCAGCAATGAGAGCGCCGAATCTTAATTAGTAAACCACCAGGGCTGGTTTAGATATAATTAGACTGTTTATATTTGACACTTTTTCCTCTTCTTTATTTAGAAGCAACAGTAATACATGATGCCATTGCTATAAGAAAAATGCATATCACTCACACACACACACGTGCACACAATCACTAAAAGAAACACTAGTAAGGTCTCAGGCATTGAAGCTGAAACATAAAGCCATGTATATAACCTGGGAGATAATGGCTGTATCTCAGAAAGACAACAGAATAAAACGGATTGAGAGTCAGAGGCCTGTGCTAGAGGCCTGGCCTTGCCATCCACAAGGCACATTTCATCTGCAAAGTAGCTCCAACCATAGCTGCTGCCCTTCCCACTTATAGCCCACTGGACAATGTTTGTGAACGTCTTCTGTGTAAACTTTAAGGCCGTGCCATTGTAAACGGTTAAATGAGAGAACATCTAACAATATTTGGAAAAAGAAGTCCTAGATAGCTTTTTAAATTTCATAA